CCGGCTTCTCGATTGATTGCGAGCGGAGCGTCGAGGCTTTTCTCCTCGATGTTTCAGAAGCGACTCACTGCTCCTCCGTCGATCTCAGGTCGGAAAAGTTTCTTTTGGGGTTAGGGTTTTGGATTTGCTGTTATTAGGTCTGATTTTTTTCCTTGATTTGGAACTGAAATGATGGCTGTAGATTGAGATTTAAGATTGGAATGATTGCACACATTATTGATGGACTTTAATAGGCAAAGATTATGTCTTTAAGAAAATAGGTTACTGAAATTTAGGGGCTCTTCCTCTTGGCATGAGTTCTTTAACTTGGATTAGTTGAAATTTAGGGGCTCTTCCTGTTTCACATAAGCATTCAAATTGGGAAATGCATGCAATTGCTTTAATAGCTCGTATATTAGGCTATCATATAGTTCTTTTCTTACATCCTAAAATTGTAATGCTAATCTGGAGGATGTTAACTCAGAAGCTTCCTTTATTAGATGCGATGGCCTGCTGGTGGAACAAGAGAATCTCAGCACACCCACTTTAGGAGGTTTTTGGCTCAATAAAGAGACCTCTTTTATCTTGGCTAGGAAAATTGATAGCAAACCTGTTATCAAGATGAAATGACGATATATCAAAAATGTTTACAGGTATTTAGACAAGCTAATGCCTTGGCGGCAAAACTAGATGAAGGCAATGGAGTTTTCAGCTAAATGGAGATAGCGGTGAATGAGGAAGTCCAAAAATTTATAAAGATCGCGAACTTTTGAAAATTGCAAAGATCTTTAGAAATACAAGTAGCAAAGAAGGAAGTTTATCACAGTGGTTTAATGATTTTAAATGAAAAGTTGCCAGTTATTTGAGTTTAGAGACCAAAGAGGAAGTACACATACACCCACTTACGAGTTTGAGAACTTCATTCCGGAAAATGCTCCCCCATGATCCACCACTGGGAGTGCATGTTCTAAACTGTGGAATGCTAGTGATTTGGGACAATGATAGCAACATTCTAAATCCCTGACAACCTTTTAGTTTTTAAATGGCAGCTCTTCCAAAGTGATGGATGTGATTCTTTAATATCTTCGTTGTTGATGAACTAGTAGAATGAGGCAAAGAGCAGGATAGATTAAATGGAAAGTGCAAAAACATTTCTATCATATATATGCTGAAAATTGCATATTCTTGAGAAGAATAAAGTGATAAATAAACGAATTTGTTAACAATGGGAAGTGCATCGTAGTGAATTTGTTAAACTAGTATACATATACATACATATACAGCAATGTACTAAGTGATTAACTCCATTGTCTTACAAAGCTTATTCTGTTCTTTATATAGATGCACTTTCGTCCAACTAAGGTCAAATGAAGCCCATACCACATCCACGACAAGTAATTTTTTCTCCATATATCGAAGCACATTCCTGATGGTCCTGGTTAAAAATAAAAAGGTGGTCACCAGGGCAACTTCAAATGTATTTATGACCATCAAACTCCTTATAAAAGGAATTAATAAAGAAAGTTAGCAGACTTGTAAGAGAGTAGCTCAAATTAACATAATATAGCTGCACATAATCTCTCTGTTGAGGTATGAAAGAGTTTAGGAGATAATGGTTTTTAGTGTGACTAACTAGGTTGTCAACAAAGTTTTGGACTATGAAATTATCTAATTGAAGGGTTTGCATTGTGATAGCTATTTATAAGAATAAAGGAGATGCATAAATCTATGTAAACTATCATGAAGTCAAGCTTATAGACTACATAATATAACTAGAGGAGATTAATTAAGCGAAAGACTAGGTAGAGAAATGTGTCTGAAAATCATTTTTGGTTTTATACTAGGGAAGTTGATCGTGAAAGCTATTTACTCAGATGATTGATAAAAAGTTATAGAAGGATTAAGTGTGCACAATTTTCATTGTTTTAGAAAAAATTATAATGGATCCCTATGTAGTTGGGAGCTAATGGTGGGTTTCATGCACACACACACACATACAGAAGAAAAAGAAATATGAAAAATGTTTGTAATGCTGATGTCTGATGTTTAATGAGTTAATATGAAAAGAAATAAGAACCTAACTTATTCTTGAAGGTACTGCTTTTGCTTTGTATAAGGTTGTTGATTTGAAGTTCGTAAAAGTGCAGAATTCGGATAAGCTGCTACAATTAACCGTTCCACAGGATGCATTAGAGAGCTTTGAAATGTTTTTATGATGTCTGTTGTTTTCTTTGTACCTTAAGAATGAAACTTATCCATTGGCCCCAATTGATTTAATAAATGCTTATGTTGTATTTGTGAGGGTATTTGTGAGGGTTGGTGTATTTTCTGGTTAAACTTGGTTCTTGTGTTGTGAGTGCTCTCTGTCTATCTTATTTATAAATCATATATTTCAGTGCAGCTTTCTATAGTTGTTGGACCATGTAACTTTACTTTATAGCTTTATCTTACTATCTGAATATTATTTTAATCCTTTGCTGCCATTTGTCTTATGTTTCCAGAGGAAGATCATCAATCCAGAGAAGATGTTTCTCCAATCCCTGGCCCTGTATGTAAATAATTGCTTTTTTCAGCTATATGTATCCATTATTTTAATCATATATCTCTTGCTTCCATCAATAGAAGAATGTTTTGTTCAGTTGATATGATCTACTTTCTTCCCTAAATGTTATTTGAATTTCTTTTCCTCTATCAAGTTTTAGTTGTTCTTGATGCATCGCTTTACAAAACTAGTATCTTTTTCATTTTTGGCCTTCTAACATTTTGTATAATTATTCAATCAACATTGAAAGACGCTTTGTTCTGTCAAGCTTAATGAACCATTGGTCTATGTGTGATTTCCCCTTAGAAAATAGTGCATAAGAGACCATATGCTGAACCTCAATATATTCTTCCCAGAAAACATTAGAATAAAGTGTTTAATTTCCTGCATGTAGAATGTAGACATCTATGCCTTGCATCTATCTGTGTATCAAGTATATATGTGCTTTATGAAATTTTGACTCATTGCGAGTCATGAATTTTATATATCTATAGTTAAAAAGCATGATAAAGGATTTGTGTCCATTTTCTTATTAATCATGCTTTATATTTAACAAATATGTACATATGTTATGCGTCATGGTTCTATGCATGTAGTAGTTGAATATCATGAGTGTCAAGCGCATGAGCGAACTCTGGATGTATTTAACTGCTAGAAAATTTGATGAGCTTATGGTACTTATACTTGCAATAGTAGTCATATGAAAGGTTGGTGTTAAATATGCGATTATGATCACCTTGATATAAGGGTTCTCCCATCAGAATGAGGAGTTCTATTGAAAATTGTTGTAATTGAATAAAAGAAGAAGAAGAAGAAGAAGAACTGGCTGCAGATTTGATGCCAATTTTAGCCATAATTTGAAGCCTGGTTGGCTTGTAGATAAGACCTAAAGTACTGTTGTTCATGTAACCGAGGAAAAGTGCCTAGACGACTGAGAGTTTAGACCAGTGGATGATTTTACTAGAGGAAATTGCACATTTTTTATGCCGTTTAATGACACCTGCATCTTTTTGAATTTTTAAAAAAGTAATGATAATAATTTGAACTCGGAAAATGCTTAGGATCAATCCTTTGTTATGACGGTGAGTTCAGGATCAATTCTTTGTTGTGATGGTGAGTTGAGGATGATGTTGTTCATAAATAAAATCAGGTAAAATGGAGGAGCGTTGGACTCTAATGTGACCATTAATACCTATGAAATTGTATTTGACCAACAATACTTAACGGATTAAAATGTTGGGAAATTAAAAAACATGTTAAAAAAAATGAGTGTAGCAGAGAAGAGAATGTTATGATGGTTTTGTGGACATACACTAAAAGATAGGATAAGAAATAAAGGCATTCATAGAGATTAGAGGTTGCTCCTATTGATGATAAAACAAGAGAGTTTGTTGAGATGGTTCAGTTATGTATGACGGAGGCCTCTTAATACACCGGTTAATGGGGCAAAGAGATCTGGCGGTAGACCTAAAAGAATGTGGTTGGAAGCAATAAAGAAGGATATGATAATAGTTAAATTTAACGGAGGAGGTGACCCAAATGGAACCGAATGGAAGACTAGGATTCATGTAGCCACCTCAAATTTTTGGGATAGAAGATTTGTTGTGTTGTTGTTGTTGCTAAAATATTCAGGGCTACAGATATTTAACTGACGGCTAACACTGATCTGCTTCTAAATTTATATAGCTACTTTCTTAATTCCGGCATGGGCTCTCTTCTGAAATTGATAGACCGTTGCTCTTCGTTCATTGCATGTATACAAAAATATTTGATTGGTTCCCTGCTCTTTCCAAGTTTCTTCAACACCACCAAATTGAAGATATTATGCGGTTAACATTCTCTATCTTTGTTTCTCTCCTTTAAAAAAAAATCTATCTTTGACATGTATTTCATACTTCCTATTTTGCTGGTTCTGTCTTCTAAGAGAAGTCTATTTCTATTAATTATTGGAGCTATAAAAGAAGTGTTTCTGCTTTTCTGTGCATTATGTTGAAACTTTCTGCTAAATGCTGCACTCTTTCATTTTATTTCTATGGTCGTTGCTACTTCATAATTTTGGTTCATTGATGCTTTGTGTTTCTCAATTTCCTACTTGTTACCTAGAAATCTCTTCTTTATCTTTCAAACTATTGCGTTATTAAGAAGGTTTTTATTGGTTATTGTTTATTTGATTTCTTTAGACTGTTGTAATTGCTGTATGCAGATCCCTTCCTCTGAAATATGGAACAGTAGCAGTCCATCTGAAATACCGAACGGCGACACCCCAGCCAAAATACAGAACAGTGACAAGAATGAAAACAACCAGACAAATAATTCTGACAGTAGTGTCGTTGCTGAACTCGAACAGTTATTGGAGCAGAAAACATTTACCAGGAAAGTATTGACGAAATAAATATTGCTTCTTTTCTTCTTACCTTCTGAATGAATAATTTCTAAAAAGTTTTGGTTGACAAATAATGGAAAATGTTTTTTTATGCAATTGCTTTTCTTGTTCAAATGCTTGAAGTCTGATTAACCAGACAAATAACTGTGCCAGTAGTGCAATTGCTAAACTAGAACAGTTATTGGAGCAGTAAACTTTTACCAGAGCAGAAAACTTTTACCAGGAAAGTATTTACGAAATAATATTGGTGATTTTTTTCCTTTGCTTTTTAATGAATAATGTCTAAAAATTCACTGTTGACAGGAACCAGGATTTTTTTTGTAGCTATTGCTTTTCTTGTTTATATGCTTGAAATCTTGCTCTCTGTATTTATAAATATGTGCATTCTGCCTTTTATGATTTCTAAACTTTTGTAAACGGTGATACATTTTCCACTAGTTTCTTTCCTGTTTAAGTTTGAAATCAGGAACCTAGCTATATGACATAATGCATGTTAACTTTTCATCTTTCTACTCACTAACCACTTTTATTGTGAACTTATTTATTACATTCTAATTTGGACTATGTTCTGTGTTTTACCTTAAATCATAATTTAATAATTTTTTGCCTTCTCAACAGGGTTGAATCTGACCGTTTGGCGGAATTACTGCGTTCAAGAATGGTCGAAACAGCAAATGTGGGACGTGAAAAGGAAAAGGATAGGGTTTTAGTACAAGATGATGGAATTGGGAGCTCAAGAATACATGTAAGTCTTTCAGTACCTGTAGGCTACTTAACTATACAAAGCTGTTATCTTCTTTTATTTGTATGGATTTTCCATTAACTACACAAGTTGCTTCTGCCCTATTTCGATTAATACACATTGTTTGATGATGTTTTTTAGAGTCATAAGGATGAAGCTGGTTCACCTGAAGAACTTGCAAAAGCATATATGGGCTCAAGGCCTTCAAAAGTTCTTTCAGTTGGAAAATATGATAACCAAGTTTTTCAAGAAGATGCCCATTTGCCAAACACACCATCTACGTCAAAGCGATTAGACCTTTTAGCTACACCACGATCTGGTATACGTTTTTCTGGAATTCCTGAACAATCTGAACGTGGTTATCGGACAGAAAGACCTCCCGGCAGATCTGCAATATATAGAATGTCCAGATCTCCATATTTTAAGGTCAATCCTACGACAAGTATCCAGGTATACCCACACGATCAGAATTGCAGATGCCTTTTATTTTTCATAATTGACTACCTTTTAGTTTTGATTGATTGCCTAATATTTCTACTTATTGGCAGCCAAGTGCATTCACTTATAATTCTGGTTATTTCATCACTTCAGGTTGGAGGGCTTTCTCGGGATGGATCATCATGTCAGTGGACACCAAGTGCTATGAAGTTACATGGAAGACAGGTAGTCTTCTCATTGCAATTCCTGGTCTTTGTACCATTGCATTTTCCTCCTAAGGATGAATATTAATGAGCACTAAGAATATAAGCAGGACCCAGTTGTCTTCATTCTTACTTGGGAGTCGAACACTGGATGTGTTGGATGAGTTCTGATGGTGGACTACTAACCGAGTTACCAATTACACTAATCAATTATTACATTTCCTACTCGTAAATTCCTTGTCACTTGTGACCTGTTATCTTTTGGATGCTGCATTTTAGACTTTTAGTACTGTTCCATTACATCAAGAACCCGAAACCTGCCTGCATAAACATCCTGAAGAAAACTGTGGTATGTACAAAGAGGAAAAGAGCAGTAATAGATGAAGGTTAATGCTAGTTAAATCAAATATACTAAGTCACAAGTAGCTATCACTAGCCTAACCCAGTAATTAGAATCTTCCTTGGATTTTGTTTTTGCTTAAAAAACAGAGCAGTGTCGAGGTGCAAGTTTGCTTTTGGCATGAACATGATTAGCGTAGTGGAATTGGGATGTTCATAATCTTTTACTGTTCGATGAAATCATGAAAATAGAAGGTTAATCAAAGGTCATGCTTGTTACTGGCATGTCAGTTTCCTCCTGCATCTATGGAGAAACTACTAGTTAATTGGTTAGCGTCACATGATCAAAGTGAGCATTTTTTTGGGGTTGATAATAATACTTCATTACATAAAAAAGAAATTTTCCCTGCTGACTAGAAATGCATGAAAGAACTTGTGTGGAAGTGATTTTTTTTTGTTGAACTTTTTACTTGTATTATATGGGAGCATGTTACTGGATTCTGTAGTTCAAATGGATAGCCAAAGGCATTGGAAATTGATTTTGCTATTGAACATTTTACTGTGCTTTTAGTCTTAGATGTTTTAATGCTCATATTACCTTTACGTGTTAAAGGACCTGCATCACATAATACATTTCGATATTAATTATCAGTTGTACTGGGCATTTGGAGTACTGCCTCATTTCTTGATATTGGTTTAGATTTGGCTTCATTCTCATTGTCCTTTGATTTATGAGATTTACCACATGCCTTTTAGGTTCTGCTTGTTGACTATATGAACAGAAGCTACTTTCCATCATTCTAGGCATGCTTAATGATAACTTGATTATCTGTTTGTTCCTTGGCTCATAATAGCAGTGAACTACTTATAGCTCCCAGGACTTGGGCTTATAGACTCTTTCAGATGTTTTTTATGTCATTCAATTTAGTTGCAGCCTTAGATACATCCCTGGGACCTAAGTTTGCTATAGTGCTCACTGCTCAAATCAGTACTTAATCCTCAATTGTGAATTGCTCTTATTTCGTCTTTTCCTTATCATTGTTGACCAAAACATCCACATAGAGGCCAAGAAGTGCACTTCATCATCCCATTGTTGCAAACAATGGACATATGTGACCCTCTTGGGCGCATAAAGTTGTCATATGAAGCCTTTTATTCAACCACAGAAAGCGTATTTGGTTACTAGGCTTCACATGTGCTACATTTATATTATCCAAGCAATGTTCTTTTATGATTACACTTGAGTTATTATTGATTCTTCTTTTATTGCTATTTATTTTTTTTCAAAGTTTAGTTCTATCGTGTCTCTTAACTTTTGAAGCTGAATTTAGTTTTAATGTAGTTTTTGTCTATTGTGATAATTTGATTTACTCCTGATGTGATCAAGCAGAGTTTAAAACGGGGTAGTGCAGCCTTAGATGGCGAGGTTGGATCTGTTGGCCCCATTCGCAGGATTCGCCAGAAATCTGGTTTGCTGTTGTCTTCCAAAGTGCCACATTCATCACTTTCTGGAAAAATTATTTCTAATCATTCAACCCCTGCTTTTAAAGATGTTCTGGAAGGTTCTACGTCAGTGCAAAAGACTCTCCTGTTGGATGAACGAAAATATGTCAGCTTAGGTTCAGAGGCTGCAGAAAATGGAATTTCTAGTGCTACTATGATTCCATTGCAGTCGAGTGAAACAGCACAGAAATTGTTCCAGCAACTGGATAAACTATTACCTTCACCAAAAGAGAAATCAGCTGAACCGAAAATGATTGCCAGAGATGAATCCCCTTCTAAGTTGACGCTTGGTATGTTGCATGGAAGTGCACTAAGAAGCATGGAAGATATACCTTCCAAATTTTTTACTGTGGAAGGGCATGGTCAAATAGGTACTTCTAGTGCTTCACCAAACATTGGAAGTTCTCACTCTCTGAAACTAGATATGGTCAAAGAGAATGGTCCAGATTCTGTTAGTTTAGGAATGAAGTCGGCATCTGAAGCCAACGGTGTGAGCAATGTTCCCATACCCTCTGAATACGTCAAGCATGGTGTGAGATCTGAAAATATTGCCATTGCAAGGAACGTTGGACATGCTGTACCCAAAAAGCCAGCTTTCCAAATGAGTGCTCCTGAGGTATGAACCTATCTCTAGAGGATTCGTATTTTGAACTAATTATTTAAAATGGATGAGCTGTTTATACATCAAATTTGTTCATTTTTAGTATTTATTTCCTTGACTATGAATAATTGGTTCCTCTCATTTTGATTAAGGATTCATTTGAACTGGATGATGATGATGATGACAATTTGAAGGACTCCTCTGTTCCGTTAACTACAGCTGAGGATGATGGTGACACAAAGACATCCAAGCAGACTAATATCATTTCTGAAAGAGTAATACCAGAGAGCCCTACAACTTCATCCCAGGGTATGCCTGTTTCAAGTTCAGAATCATTAAAGAAAGCTGACAAGAAGCCTGTCATTACACCTGTTGTTACTGAAAAGAGCAATGGCTTTGCATTCCCAGTTTCATCTGATCCCTTCAGTCAGTTTCAGTCACCTCCAACACCTACTATGGCCATCCCACAGTCAGATGGGCCAGAAGCACGTAAGGAGCAGACAACATCTCCTATATTTAGCTTTGGATCCAATGGTGCCAATTCATCATCATTTTCATCAAGCACCGCCACCGTTAATGATTTTTCAGGCATAAAATTTGGTGAAGGGTCAAGATCAAAACCGAAATCAGGCACCAGGTTACTCTTTTATTTCAAAATTTTGGATTTACATGTCAAACCTACTGATGCTTTCTCTGTTTTTTTTCGTCTTGTTTTTTAGGTTTTTTAGGTTTTTTATGTTTTTTTTTTGTTTTTTGTTTTTGTTTTTTTAAGGAGAAATTACATATAACAAAAGACATTACTCATGTTTTAAAATAATTTTCATAAAGAATAACTGAATTTAGATGCAAAATGCCTTCTGAGGGGAGTGAATATTCTGGATTGCATTTCATTTACTAATTTGACATGTATAGTATTTCGTGATTAGGTAAATTTATTGTGGGCACCAGAACTTTCTTCTTTTAACTAAGAATTATTTTGAAAATGTTTGTAGATTTAAGGGTACCTTTTACCATTATTGAATACCTACTTTATATTTTATCCTAGAGTAGGGGTGGAACTGTGGAAGTGAACCGAATAATTAATAAACAGTTAGGTTATTATTCGTCCAGATATTCGGTCAAGTTCAATTCGATAGTTCCTTTAGTACTGAATAGATTATTTTTAGTGTTCGTCTTATAAACGAATAGAATTTAACCAAAGGTACGTTCGATTGTTTGATTATTATCTATTCGATAGCTTTTTGCATTTTAGTCCTACTAATTAAATTTATTGCAAATATTACTTATCTAAATTTTTATTTACAAATGTCACCCATATAAATATCTAAGAGGGGATTCTAGGGTTAGGGCTTTCACATTTTCTCTATTCGCCTCCACCCTCGAGACTCGACTTTAGGGATCCATCGATGGCATATTGCTCTTTCCTCTTTGAGTCTCCATCTCCGACTCCTGGTCGCTTTCCCCCTCAGTCTCTCGTCTTTGACTCCCCCTTCACTCTCTTCTCCCATCGACAGTTCAACGCTATCTTCCCCTGTCGAATCTCATCATTCACTTCCCCCTGGCCCTCGCTCTCTTTTCCCCTAAGCCTCCAGTCTCGGACGCTCTCCTCCCCCATCGACGCTCTCGTTCTCCCTTGAATACTCGTCATTGACTTCCCCCCTCGATGCAGGTAAAAATCACATTTGTTTTGCTAAACGAATATTCGCGGATACTTACCGAATGCTAATAAAAGTTGTTTAATTGAATTTGAATTTTTGAATGGCCTTTTAGTATTTGGCTCGAATATGAACACAAGTTTGAACATGTGAAAATGGGTCGAATTCGAATATTGAGGTATTCGCTCCGATTCGGTCGTTTACCAGCCCTATCCTAGAGGGCTGGCTAGTCAGAGGTAATCATATATTAAGTTGCAAATTAGCCGCATTAGAATTTTTCATCAAATCCATTTTTCCTGTTACCAGAGGATTCCATTCCTCCTGTGTATTACTACTAAGTCTACTTAACATTTAAAATGGAAATACACTAATAAAAACTGTGGAAGAAGCAGCTGCAGCCGCCGCATTTCTGATGTCAAGTTGGTATCTTCCTTGTGCATTTGCTCATTTAGTTTATTCTTGATTATGTTGCAGCAGCTACACTACAACTTCAGCAGAACGATCTGCCTTGGATAAAAACGCTAAGGAAACGGCTGGAGATATATTCAAACCATTTGGAAATACCGTTACCTCTGGGATTTCAACACTGTCTACACCTCCCATATCTGGTTTTGGCACTTCTGCTGCTTCCAGCCTCAGTAATGGCTCACTACATTCATCTTCACCTGCATTTCCAGTTCCTGGTCAAACACCTGTCACTCTTTCTGAAGCTTCTGTGTCCATGAACAATACTGCCACTGCATCCAGTTCCAGCAGTTTATCTGTTTCATCAGCAGCAGCTACTTTCTCTACTGTATCTTCAATCCAGTTTGCCTCTGATATATCCAAGACCTCTCCTATTCCAGCTTCTCAACTTGTAGATGGCCCTAATTTACCTATTTTTGAAGCAAACTCTATCCAGTCCTCACCATTGCACTTATCTAGTTCCACAGTTCAAGGTACATCTTCTGTGTCACTGTTTCAATCAGTTCCAAGTTTTAACAGCGGCAGTTCATCTTCAGCACTTTCAACACCAGTGATAAGTTCAGGCATGGGTACTTTTTCTGCAACTGCATCTCTATTTTCAAGCACGGGTGGGATGAGTTCTTCTGCTGCACTATCACCTGCGTTTCCAAGTACAGCAAGCAATGTTTTTGGGTTCAACACTTCAACACAATCTACTAGCTCAATAGCATCATTTGCTAACAGTTCTTCTAAGAATTCTACTAGTACTATTTTTGGCACCACTGGTGGAGCTACCTGTTCTAGCCCATTGCTTGCAAATAATTCTTCTCAGAACTCTACTGCCAATACAACTAGTGCCACTGGGGTATCAATATTTGGTACACAATCAACTCAACCTGGTAGTGGAACCTCTCAGATAACTCAGAGCTCCACAAGTCAGTTTGGTTCATTTTCTTCATCTACTCCCTTTGGTTTTGTCAACTCTTCCTCAGGTGGTTTTGGTGCTTCGTCAATTGCTCCTGCAATTTCGGATGCCCAACCTTTTTCTTCAGGTTCTGGATTTTCTTTTTCTTCTGGTGTTTCCTCTTGCGCTGGTAGCAGCTCATCCTTTGCTCCAGTAGCTACCTCTAGTTTGTTTGGTTCCAATCCTCAGCCATCTACCAATACTTCTCCATCTACGGGATTTTCGTTTGGTACATCTTCTGCTTCGAACAGTTCAGCTTTCATTTTCAGTTCTTCATCTGGTTCTAGCACTTCAACTTTTGCTTTCGGTGGATCATCCGGTTCAAGCAATTCAACTTTTAAGTTTGGTTCATCATCTGGTTCAGGGTTTGCATTCAATTCAGCTGCTGCTACTGCCTCATCAACCCCTTCCTCTCCAGCTCCTGTATTTGGAATATCCAACCCAGCTATGGGATTAGTTTCAAGTTCTCCCGGAAATGATCAAATGAATGAAGATAGCATGACTGATGACACAAATCAAGCTGGAATTTCCTCGGTTCCGACATTTGGTCAACCAGCGAATAATAATCAAGCTGGACTTTCCTTGGTTCCAACATTTGGGCAACCAGCCAATAATAATCAAGCTGGAATTTCCTCGGTTCCAACATTTGGGCAACCAGCCAATAATCCACCGCCTGCACAATCTTTTATATTTGGTTCTCCGGCAGTTCAGCCAGGTGCACCATCTGCCTTCCAATTTGGTGGGAATCAGAATTTGTCTTTTCCTCAAAATCCATCACCATTTCAACCAACTGCTAACGTGGAGTTCACCGCTGGAGGGAGTTTCTCTTTGGGTAGCGGTGGTGGTGATAAATCTGGGAGAAGATACGTGAAGGTTAAACGGGATAAGCTGAGGAGGAAGTGAGGTCAAGATTTTCTTCCTTTTAGAGAGGTAAGCTCCTTGTCACCCAGGTGCTTGATATTTCATTGAAAAGACAAATTTATCTACACACAGATATCAGTTTGCCATTTAAATTTTTCTGTAACATTTGAAATCCACTATTTGTTGTACTACCCCCACCCCCCAACCCCCCCTTTCAGGTTTTGTAGTTGCAATTTTGGTTCAGTTGTAGCGAGTGCTTAGGAGATATTTGCCTTGTGCTGAGCACTAATGTGTTGGTGGTCGTACTTGTTTTTGTAACATAGAAAGCATAATATATATCCCTTGGTAATCTGTTAGTTAGTTGTGTCTCTCTTGTGCTTCCTTCCTGTTGGTCGTTGGACGAAGTTTACCCTGTAAAAACGTAGTTAATTAAACCTTTCATTCTCTGTGTTTACAGCCTGTTCCCTTGGCATATGTAACTTCGTATTAAGGCTGCATACTCGCTTTTCCTCTCTTTAGTTTATTTTTTTATTTTTTTATTTGGTACCCGCTTCTCTGGAGCAAATCTGACCTTTTGTTGATGAAGTTCGGAAAATATTTGATGGTTTGAGATTGGATCCAATCAGCAGTCTTCAAACCATTATCAATGGTACAACATTTATAACTTCTGCACTGTTAATCAACTGGTTGAGGATGATTTATTTGGTGTTTTGAGAATTTAGATCTTCACCTGATTGCTCTACCATATTACCTGTTTAGTTAGTGTTTTTGTATCTACATTTGAGAATTTAGATCTTCACCTGATTGCTCTACCATATTACCTGTTTAGTTAGTGTTTTTGTATCTACATTATGCAATTACAATCAAAATTTTAGGCTTCTACCATATTACCTGTTTAGTTAGTGTTTTTGTATCTACATTATGCAATTACAATCAAAATTTTAGGCTTCAAACCATGCTACAAGCATTGTTTGATCTGTACTTCAGAAAATATGTGCCCTCTAAAGATCATATTGTCAAATTTTCGGTCATTATAACTCTGTTTCTAGTGAATTTTTTTTTAATTTACAAAAGCATAAAATAGACAAACAATGATTTAGAGATGTAGCTGCAGAAATGGAGAGCTATGAGTTGCGGTAACAATTGATTTACTATTATAAGGT